TGGATTCTTAATCGAGGATAATGTACGTGTAGAGGATGATTTTTCAGTACGGTCGACTAACTTTGAGAGATGAATGAAAACGCGGTTGCCCTGGACGGCTTCACGGAAGGAAACGTGGCAGCGAATACGTATGAAGAGATTCGGTACATTTTGTAGATTGGATCGGGAAGCGTTCACGAAATTTTACACGAACACTTTCGACTGAGTAGGATAGTTTCGCGTTGAGAGGATAGCAAGCCCGGGTGGAATGGTGACGTAACATGATTACTAAATTGAAATCAGGCTCGTCTCGGCGTCTTTACAGCCGATATTATACCAAGTAATGAATCTTGAATGGAAGATCTAGAAAGGAAGTGCCAGTCGACAGTTTGGCTGTTTAATTGTTCATTGCAATGTACAACAAAAGAGCGAACACGGTGCTCAACTGGTTACAGTTTCACCATGGCTTTTCCTGGAAAGGACAGTGCACTGGTTAAGCTTTTGAGTCACCCTCCTTACAGCCCTAATTAGGCATCGTATGACTCTTTTTTCTTCCCTCAAAAAATATCAGCTGAATAACATATAGTTTTGCCAACGCAGAGCGTTTTTTTTTATAGGAGAGGGAGCAAACGAGCCTGCCTTTAAAAAAGGAAAAGGCCATTTAAAATGGAGTAAGCTCCTTTCCTGAAGGTCCCTAAGTCATATCGGTCCGGAAAAATCACTGGTGGTAATCGATTTCACAAGAAAATTGTGCAAGGAAGAAAACTTCTTCTAAATCGCTTAAGGGTGGAACGCCAATCATCCAGGTGGTATGGATGGTATCGCGAGTTGTGTCGCGATGTGCGAAGGTGAAATTGAGCGGCTGGAATTAATCCTAACAATTCTTCAGAGCACTCCCCGTGGTAAATACGATAAAATACACAAACAAATGCAACATCTCTAGGCAGTGCCAGGGAATCAAGCCGATCGGAAAGAAGTCGGTCGTCGACGATTCGAACCGCTCTGCGCTGGATGCGGTCAAGTGGAAGGAGCTGATACTGGGAAGCCCCTGCTCAGAGATAGGAACAGTATTCCACGTGGGGCCGAACCAGCGCCTTGTAAAGTTGCAAGCGGCATGCCGGCATGAAATACTGTCCCGCTTTGCTGAGCACGTCAAGATTTTTAGAGGCCAGTTTGGCCTTCTCTTCCAAATGACCACGAAACTGCACATCACTCGATATGTCGACACCGAGGATTCCAATACTGGCTGAGGCAACAAGGGGAGTGCCTTGAAACTGAGAAGATACGACAAAGGGGTGCTTTTTAGCGGTAAATTCTCAAACTTGTGTCTTCTGGGGATTGAACTGGACTACATTTAGTCGCCCCCAGTCCAAGAAGTTGTTCAACAAAGTCTCCACTTCAGACACAAGTTTGTTCCGGTATTCGGCGACATTTTCCCGAGAAATGTTAGCACGGCCGGTGTATAAAAGCATCACCAGTGCTGTCGTTTGCATAGCAATGAATGTTACCAGTTTACAACGTTTCATTGATATGCAGAAGAAACTGCGTTGGTGATAGCGCGCAGCCTTGTGGGACACCAGCGTTAATGGGCTTGTAATCCTAGCATGCACTGTCTACTACCACCTGGACGCTCTGATCTGCAAGAAAACTGGTGATCCAATTGCACAATTTCGCGGGAAGCCCTTTGGAAGGAAGTTTCGAAAAAAAGCGCTTTGTGCCAAACCCGATCGAGGATTTGTATTCCTATTAGATTGATTTATTTATTTATTCTATTAGTATTTCTTATTCCTGTACCACCGTTACCACAAGAATAAGTATTTCGGAAATTAGTTCAGAACCATGTAAGTAAGTTTTAATGCTGGTAGGAGAGTTCTTTTAAAATATTTAATAAGTACGAGGGCAGCACTGAAAATTTCGGGAATCAAGGAAGTGACACAACATTACTATTTAAAAATGTATTTATTGCTTTTCGAAGTATTCTCCGCGAAATTTGACACATTTTACCATGCGATGGAACCAATCATTGAAGCAACCATTCCATTCGGAAGTTGGGGTTCTCAAAATGGCCGTTTTGTAGGCGTCCACAGCTTTTTCTTGTGATGAAAATCTCTGTCCTCGCAATTTATTCTTTATTTTAGGGAAAGTATAGAAATCATTAGGGCTTAGGTCGGGGCTGTACGGCGGATGGTCTAATAATTCTATGTTTTCTTGCTCTAAAAACTCTTTTTTTCTGTGTGCGGTGTGAGAACTCGCATTGTCGTGATGGAGGATTTTTAACAGTGGTAGAGCCACGCGGCAGCTTTTGCTGTCGCACGGATGGGCCGGCTCGAACCGGGGTGGTACCACGACCTCACAGAAAACCAGCGTGAAGCAGAGGTTTACCTCTGCGTTTCGCTTGGTGAGTGCAGGTGGCCGGAGGCCCTTTTTACTGGAAATGAGGCATTCCATCTTAGTCCTCACGGGTGACAACGCATCTACATATTGATTTGTAATAGAGGATAGATGTAGATGTCTATGGGCCACAGCAACCACTTACCATCAGGTGGACTGTGTGCTCGTTTGTCACCCTTATCCTATAAAAAAAAAAAAAAAAAAAAAAAAAAAGGATGATGCGGCGGTTGCAGTTCTCTTTACGGAGTTCAGAAACGACCTGTGGCAAATAAATGCTAGCATACCATTCTGCATTAACCGTTCTTTGTCTCTCAAGAGGAATAGTCGTAACATGGCCGGTTTTGGAGACAAAACACCCAAAACTCGTGACTGGTTTTTTGTTTCGGGTTCGTACGCGTATATCCAGGATTCGTCACCTGATACGATGTTGTATACAGCATTTGAGGATCCTGCGTGGAATCTTTCGAGAGTTCTGACGCACCAAGTAACGCGAGCCGCTTTTTGCTCTTCACAGAGCGAATGCGGTATCAATCGGGAAAACAACTCTTTTACACCTAATTGTTCATGCAAGATTATTTGTATTTGACTCATGCCAATGTCTAAAGTAGCCTGAATTTCGCGGTATGTCACATGTCGATCTTCCTCAATCAGCTTACGCACAGCATCAACGTTTTCTTGGGTGACTGCAGTTTTTGGACGACCTTGACGGGGATCATCACTGAGCTTGACACGTCCACGTTGAAATTCAGCAAACCAGCGATAAATTGTGGTTTTGGATGGGGCTTCATCACCAAATGCAGAAATCATCCGGTCCACACTGTTTTTGTGTTAAACCACTTCGAAAGTCATAATAAATCATCGCTCTTGAATTTTCTCGAGTCAATTCCATTTTCTCAACGACTAAACAAGTTTGACAAGACCGAGAATCTTTTTTTAAATAAATAAATGGTATTCGATTTTTAAAACCAAGGAGTTTTCAATTAAAAAGATTTTAATATGACAGGAACAGTGGAAATATTCTATTCCCGATACTTTTAGTGCAGCCCTCGTAATTACTTTAATCATAGAACTTTCTAAGTTTCGCAAAAGGAACGGGATCTCTCTGTGACGTCGCGGTAAGCTTAGTAGCCGTGGCTTGATCACCCACGGTGAACTAAGAGGAACCTACACGGCTGGCCCAAGATGAATGGCCCGCCCTATGTAGTGGGGCCGCTGGAGGAGGAGGAGGAAGTATTGGTATTGCGAGACACCACTATCCCTACCCACGGCTGAAACATGATTGGCGGCGGTTCCCGCCGCTGGGGTCAGAGATGCTGGCGTTTCCGAGTGCCCGTTTTTCCTGGCATCAAGGCATCTTAGACCTCAATGGTGCTAGGTGGTGGAATAAAGTATGTCTATGAGTGTCTATGGGCCACAGCATCAGCTTACCATATGGCATCTACATAGCATCAGCTTATCATATAGTAAGCTGATGCTATGTAGTTCACATACTGTTGGTTTCTTTGTCACACTTACTTAAATAAAAAAGTTAAAAAATATAATTCCTCCCATCTCACCAGGTCACAATCAGTACACTGTAGATTTCATCCTAAGAGTTTGTCATGCTTAGCAGATGATGCAGTCTAAATTGCCTAATCTATAAACTAAAGGATTGTAGACAACTGCAATCACAATGAAATATCTTTTTACAGCTTTTATGCTGCTGCTGCTGATATTTTACATCTAATATAAATATGTGGTGGTTATGTAGACACACAATCTATGAAACCCAAGGGGTGATATATGGTGGATTCTTATTTGAAGTTCACCTGCATGCATCTGCAAGGGTACATCCCTTATGGTGGGAAATCTATAAAACAAAATATGAACTCAATTTAACTGTCTGATATGTAGAACAACATTAACAGTGTAAGAGTATTAGCTCCAGTACACCTGTCCATCTTCAAAGCCTAATATTATTTTATTTTATTTATTTTTAGCTGATACATTGGCTATTGATCATGATGCTCATTTAACATAGGACTCAATTCAAACATTGACCTACTTAAATATGTATTTCCAAAATTATCATTTATTTAGAGAATGTTATTGGTTATATTATATTTCAGATAACCTTTTACTGTTTTTGTGTTCAAATTATCAGAGTATTTAGGTATTATTATCATAAGAACGCATTTGATAAGTCAAGGTCACTTCTCAGATTGTAAAATAAGCCAGAAGAAAAAAATGTTAGATAACAGTCTACATACATCCCACAGATCTAAGTCTACTCTTATTCCTTTGAATATTTTAAGGACATGTGTAGTTCTCTAAGATAAAGGGTAAGGGCAGCATAACCATACACCAGCGTAAAATAGCAATGTGCTACGATGTTTCGTATGGTGTGTGTAGAGAATTGGAGACCCTTTTTACTAGAAACAAGGCATTCCATTATAGTCCTCAAGGGTGACAACGGATCTGCATTATGATTCTTAATAGAAAATAAATGTAGATGTCTATGGGCCACGGCATCGACTTACCATCATGTGGACTTTTTGTTCATTTGTCACCGGCATTCTATTAAAAAAAGTTCCACCAAACAGCTAATATAAATGACCTTTTTATAATATAACATTTAAAACATAACTCACCATCCTTAATAGAAGCAGGAAAAGGTGGCATAGGTTCTTTAGCAAATAAAGGTTCACCAACAATGCAACCCATACTGTCTTCAATTTTAACTTGTTCTAAAGATTTCTCCCACTCTTTCATTACAGAATCTATAACTTTGAATGCTTCAGCCATCTGTAGCATGGGATATGGAGATTCTCTAGGTCTCAAAGCCACCTTTGACAGATCAACATTGCTACTAAATTTTTTATGTGAACAAACATGATCTAATTGCATTGAATTGTGAACAGATTTCACTTTAGTAATTTCATTCTTAATTATTGCTATTGCATGGTTTAGTATAGGCCGGACAATTTCAAAACATTCAATCACAGCCTTTTTACTACCTGGGAAATTTATTATAAGTGTTTTATCTCTTATACCGGCAACTGAACGAGACAACATAGCCATTGGAGTCTTTTTAAGGCTTTCAGTTGTTAAAGCAACGGTTATTGCTGGAACTTCTCGTTCTATCACTGCTTTCGTTGCCTCTGGTGTTACATCTCTACTACTCAAACCTGTTCCTCCAGTAGTAATAATTAAATCAACATCCATTCCACAATACTCTTTGATCATTGCTTCTATAACTTCTCTTTCATCAGGTATTACAGTGGTGCGTATTAAAGATTGAGGAAACATTTCTCTAGTTAGTTGAACAAGAGTTGGGCCTGATGTATCACTAGATGCATCCTTTGAGCAAGTGTCACTAATAGTAATTATTGATATGGCTGTAGCAGTCATTTTATTTAATTCTTAATAATATTCGTAAAAAATCTTATATTTAATATTGTTTTAATCAAGTAAACACTAAAAATTATGCAATTGTATTGTTTACATATTTACTTTAATAAATAAATAGCGTAATTTCACTCAATAATAAGTAATAAAACGTAAAAAGTTTTCAAGAATAAAGAACAATCTTCTTATTATTCTTATTGAGGCGGTCTGGCAATGACTTAACAAACGAAAAATGAAAATTGATGATTTTAATTAATAAGAGTCTATGAGGTATTACAAGTTTTTAAGAGTTTACTTTAGCAAAATTTTTACGAGTGCGACACCGACAGCGCAAATGATAGTTTGACACTCATGTGACAATTCTGGCCTTTGAGCATAGAAAATAGATTCTGGCTTTCACGCTGGATGTCAGATGCAGATGTCAAAGTGTTGCCAACAACTAATCTAGCTATCCACCAGATTCAACTTTTAAAACCACCAGAACACCACAAAGAAAAAGCGGCTACACTCATAATCTCTTTTTCGTCGGCACTATCTTCATCGGTTTTCATCATCATGCTTACAACTGTGCGACAAAATTTGCATTTCACTACTTGATAAATGAGAGTCTTAAGGCCAAGAATTCCGAAACTTTTGTGTATACCTACTATCGTGCCGACATAGTAGCATAGATAAATATATATGTAGCAAGCTACATAGTAGGTACAATGTCGCATTCATTCGTGTATGAACCATTTTTTTTATAACTGGCTTTACGTCTCTGGGTTCTAGCCCTTCTGAGCCTGAAGTTAGAATGTATAATTATCCTTCTTAGTACACTGCTTCACAATATGTTTATGCATCACATTGTACAGCTCTTGGGAGATTTTGACGGTAACTTAAGCCAGCAGACAGCTGACAGTTGGCGAATGCATCTCAAGGCACCTAAGCAGACATCTTATCTTGTGAATCACATCACCATCAGAGCACGTGTATCACTGTTTCCACTAATATTTCACATGCGCACGTACTTAATGCAAAAAATCGCAAAACTTTTACATATCAAAATCCATTCCAAACCATTATTTCAACAATAATACAAGAGCAGCAATCCTCCACCGTTCAAGTTCCCGTCAAAACCTTACGTATGAACCAGTGAATCAATACGACATTGAGTTTAGTAAGCTACTACTAAAATATACTACCAGACGCGGAACAGGAATCCCAGTAAATAGTGTAGCACCAGCGGGATGGATCGCCTTACGTCACATCATGTCTGATGAATCAGTGCAGCATACACAGTAAAAGTAAATTGTTCTTGTATGAAGTAGAAATATATTTCGAAACGTGTAAGTGGCTTAATAGTTAAGTGATTATCTTTCGACTAATTGAAACTGAATTTTACTGAACCACTAAAAAAAACCACCAGCCACTATAAGCAATATTTCTCCACTAAAAGAGGGGTTTAAATCACCAGCTTTAGTGGAAAATGTACTAAGTTGGCATCATTGGCTGTCAGGTGACAGCAGTGTGACCAAATTTTATTTGACACAGCTACTAAAGTAGAAAGCAGCTAAATTCTACTAACTTTCATTTTTCACCCGATATTTACTACAAAACATTAGCCGCATTTTAAAAGTAGTAAGATAAATATATTTTTTAGTTTTTAATATTATATCACTTGATTGCATAGAAAATTACTAAACACTAACTGATACCCGCGACTTCGTCCGCGTTGCTTACACAAATGACTGTACAAGTAATGCTTATAAAAACTACGATGTGCGTACAACTGCAAACTTCTATCATTTTATTTATTTATAGATTTGTAATTTCGTAGACACAAGACAAAATCCACCATCATCATTAGGTACAGCCCTTCACAAGTTTCCTGCTGAACATAGCTTCCTCCAAGGCGGGAAAAAGAAATGATATTCAAATACACTCCACTCCACTTTAAATAATCGGAAATTCGGGTAAGACGTGCAAAAAGTCAATGGATATGGGCGACTCAGGAGCGCAGGACCGTGTTTTGTGGCATTTCTTGAAGACAATACACATTATGATATATTTTTTGTGTTTATGTTGTATTAGAAAATAGGGAATCTTGCTCCTGCCCTGCACAATAATTTTATTTTATCATATTTTCGTTTCTTAATTAATAAACTAACCACAACACTTTCACTTCAGTTTCGGAAGGAAGTTCTTAAATGAGTAGTAGCCAACTGTTCACCGAAAAAGAACAAGCAACTTTCACGATGTAAGTACATTGTTCACGCACCTAGTTGCCCAGACTAAGGTCTACTATACAGGGGCCCATACAGCTGTTAGGTTCGACGGACAACTAAGTGTGGGGCTCAAAATGCCTTATGGAAAATGTCCTATCATACTACACAATAGAGAGAAGGCTAGGTAAATAAATAGTACATACCTGTTCAGAGGTGAAAAAGGCTCACAGGGCTCGTTCAGGCGTTAATTGTCGTGAATGTAAGTAGTGTGTGAGAAGTGTATATATGTGTAACCTGAATTAGCCCTTTTAATCAGCAGCAACCCTGACTCTGGCACCGCCCCCCGGCGTGGTATTCTCCAGCGGCGGCAGCAATGGACAATTTCTTTCTTCAATTCACCATGTCAGTCTATCAACTTTATTGTACATTTAACTAACTTCAAGACGCAACTAAATCCCGTTAATTATAATCAAAAAACGTAACACGCGGCACGACTGATGACCGGTGGGTCAAAGTTCACTTCCGTTCACTCCGCAACAAATTATTTCGAAAACCGAACGCGACCTTTTAAGGCACTTAACGCAACGCTACAATTAAACATTAACTTCTCAAGAGTTAGCCAACCCGGCGTCTAATGTTCTAGACTACACAATTCTTCGTCGTTGCACATATCTGCTAACAAAATCGACACTATCAGAGGCAACCACGCGGCTCGATTCGACTCATAGCAAATCTTTGACAACCGAATCCGAGACGGTCTTCACGAAACACAATTTAACTAGCGAAGTAACGCGCACAAATACTGAAAATCTAGACCTGGTAAAACCAAAACTGGTCGCACGAAATCGCTGCCACGGTCACCACAAAGTTACGTTGGGACGGCGTCGCTGCATAAAAGCTATTGTCTTCGCACTCGCGTTCTGCGCCCACGCTCTCTGCCGAGCGACGCACACGGTAGTGGGGCAAGGGTGACCTTTACAAAGTCAGCGGGCGGACACGAATGGAATGTAAATTTAAAATGTTAATTGTTTGGCCTAAACATACATAAATCGTGACAGCGTTTGATGCAATTCGTGGCGTGGATCACTGTATAGGACAATTATTATACTCTTTAGCGTAGACTTTCTAGGACATTTAAATAATTTATGATTGTGGACTGAAGCTAGTGTAGTTGGATAATGCGAAGATTATACACCCGTCTCTCATTTATACTCCACTGCGTAATTTATGCGGGACACACACTCGTTAGAGTAGTATAATCCTTGCGCGCTTATCTGTTTCCTCAAAGTAGAAAGGCCTGCGAAACACGTACGCGTCACCGTTATGGCTGCCATACACGATACAGTTTACCATCAAGTTTGCAGCGCGCTGTATGCGGCGCGTTAACTGGGAATCCTGCGACGGGTAAGACGGTACCTTATATTTTTGATCTGATAGCACCTTATTATTACTCAGGAACGGACGTACGCAACGGAGCCTCCTGCGTGTACCCGCAACAGGATCACGGCGCGGGATCCCGATTAACTCAGCGGATGACCTCAAGGTTTCTTTTGCATGATAATATTTCTTTCATATATTTGGATATAAAATATGTAGTTAAAATTAAATCTTATTAAAAATTAGCCTAAATATTTAGGACTCGACTATGCTTTAATTATTTGTTTCATTAATTACAGGCCAAAAAAGCTTCCCCCATAGACAACATATAAGTTTTTCCTAAAACTGACGTATTAGAAAGGTTTTCTGTTTATTTTATATCAACTCTTAATTATATATTCACATAATATTGTTTTTTCGTAAAATCACTTAAGTTTTATTAATTTTAATAGGCTTAAAATAACATCGTATATTAATTCTGACTCTTATAAACGTTACTATATATTAGCATTTTAGATTGATTAATATTATGTGCAATAAACATATGCATACACCGTGATTTGGCGCGAGTGACCAAACAATCACGTCTCATTTAGTGCCGAACCGAAAGTCCCCCAATGTCGCCCGCACTGACCGAGATCGTGACGAGTAGGTAACGTAACGAGTGTGACCTGCCGTACTTTCCAACAGACGAAAACTAGAAACGCGTCTAGGTGCTGAATACGGAATAAATTTTACGCGTCAAGCCAAAACCTATTTACCACCAATAAGCCAAAACTTGTTTCAGTAAATTATAGTCTGTTTACTAAGATAGTGTGGGTACGTACACCCGGAGGCGCACTTATTATTTTGCTTTTTTTTACTGTTTGTTAAATAATTGTTTTTCTACTCTAAGAATAAAACAGAATATTGTTTTACTCTTATGGTTTTTGTAATAAAATACGTATATAAATAATAAACACAAGTTAGGTAGCGGAGAATCTTTAACTATGTACTGCGCTGCGTTTAAAACGCCAAATTCTTCTACGGGTGTACCTTGATGTCGCAGCGGCGCCTTCGATAAGATGCGGCTCGTGCCGAGGCAGCGCGACACAGAGGCGACTTTATCTAAGCGAACAGACTATATTAAATGTCTCACGTCTAGTTCACTCACAAAAATTGCGATTAAAGACTTTCTAATATCTAGGATAGATAATATATTCTAATATCATGTCTGGGATACCCAGAGTATAATAAAAACCACGTGCCATATTGAGTTGAGTTTCAAACATTAATGTATAATGTTCTATCTCTTATACTCAGTGCTTTATATATTCTTTAATGTCTGCTACAAATTAACTATATGATTGAAGACCTTAACTGTTCTAATACATCATGCAGCGATAAGGCCTCCAAAGTCCTCGCTAAAAATATATCACC